TTAATTACCTAATTTGCATAATTAATTAATTTTCAACTTTTGATATATCAAGTAGTAATCATCATATTTCAATGAGACTTGCTACATAGATCTTCTAGGATTATGCAGAGACCTGCTTAGTTTTAATTGGATATTAATTACCTAATTTGCATAATGTTCCACTGATATATAAAGAACCACAAATTGGATTTTAATGAAACTTTTAAAGAGAACTATGCAGAAACCCAATTAGTTTTTGGTAAATATTTATGCTTATTAATCACCTAATTAACGTAATTATTTAACACTGATATCTCAATGACTGATCATCACATTTGAATAAAATTTGGTACACAAATGCTCTAGGACAATAGACAGGCCTGATAAATTTTGGGTTAAAATCTGATCATATTAATTATCTAATTAGCATAATAATTCATAATTGTTTTGTTCTGTTCTGTTTATATTAGCTACCTGATTTACATAATTATTTTTCAGCTTTTCCATCAATATCTCATGTACAAGTAATTTTTAATTAATTTTTAATGTGTCTTCAATACTCTCAGCACACAGGAGTTCTTTCTAAGCTTTCTTTGATTACAGATTCACCTTTAATTTAGAAACAGGAAAAATAATTAGCATTCTATTTATAAAGCAATTTTTAATTTCGTCAAACTTCTGGACAAATATTATGTCAAATGTATGATTTAGTGATCCATAAATAATTCAACCTCCAACAAAGACCACATACCTCTCTATAAAGACCACATACCTCTCTATAAAGACCACATACCTCTCTATAAAGACCACATACCTCTCTATGAAGACCACATACCTCTCTATGAAGACCACATACCTCTCTATGAAGACCACATACCTCTCTATGAAGACCACATACCTCTTTATGAAGACCACATACCTCTCGAGAAAGACCACATACCTCTCTATGAAGACCACATACCTCTCTATGAAGACCACATACCTCTCTATGAAGACCACATACCTCTCTATGAGGACCACATACCTCTCTATAAAGACCACATACCTCTCTATAAAGACCACATACCTCTCTATCAAGATCACATACCTCTCTATAAAGACCACATACCTCTCTATGAAGACCACATACCTCTCTACAGACCACATACCTCTACAAAGACCACATACCTCTCTATGAAGACCACATACCTCTCTATGAAGACCACATACCTCTCTATGAAGACCACATACCTCTCTATGAAGACCACATACCTCTCTATGAAGACCACACACCTCTCTATGAAGACCACATACCTCTCTATGAAGACCACATACCTCTCTATGAAGACCACATACCTCTCTATGAAGACCACATACCTCTCTATAAAGACTACATACCTCTACAAAGACCACATACCTCTCTATGAAGAACACGTATCTCTCTAAAAAGACCACACACCTCTACAAAGACCACATACCTCTCTATGAAGAACACATACCTCTATGAAGGCCACATACCTCTATATAATGACCACATACCTCTCTATGAAGAACACATACCTCTATAAAGGCCACTTACCTCTATATAATGACCACATACCTCTCTATGAAGACCACATACCTCTCTATCAAGATCACATACCTCTCTTTAAAGACCACATACCTCTCTATAAGAACCACATACCTCTACAAAGACCACACACCTCTCTATAAAGACCACATACCTCTCTATAAAGACCACATACCTCTCTATGAAGAACACATATCTCCCTATAAAGACCACATACCTCTCTAAAAAGACCACATACCTCTCTATAAAGACCACATACCTCTCTATGAAGACCACATACCTCTCTATGAAGACCACATACCTTTCTATAAAGACCACATACCTCTCTATGAAGACCACATACCTCTATATAAAGACCACATACCTCTCTATGAAGACCACATACCTCTCTATTAAAGACCATTTTACTGAAGTTCTTTTTGTGGTTGCTATACACACACTATACAAACCATGGTTGGCTACAGATATTTGTAGCTACTACATCATGCTATTGAATTGTTTTATTGGATAAATGTTGATGTGATATAAAACCACTACACTTTTATATTTCTTTTCAGCATGTATTATCTGTTGCATGTAAAGTGGTGAAGAAAAAACACATATCTGAACAATTCTGGGAGTTGGTGAGTACATGATATCAACAGATTTCAAAACATGTTACTGATTGATACAAAAATGTACCACTTGTTTATGGGTTAATTTTAGAAAAAACTTTTTAATGCAATTTACAAACAGCAAAGATTAGGGATTGAGAGGTGTGATTTGGATACATTGACTTCATTCTATGGTTCGTTTTGAATCACTTTGCTACAGCACATCTGTACGAATCAATTATAGGTATCCATGGTAACAACTGAATTTTTTGCAGGGTCAAGACACAGGAGTATATATATTATTGCAATCATTGTGCAGCAGATTTCCACTGGAGTTTAGTCCTTTCATAAGACTGTGTATATCACTGAGTGAGTGTGGTGCGGAGAAGATATTCCATTATTTAGACGGTTTATCGTCATACATCGAGTTATTGGATAACAACAGGGCTGATAGTATTGATACTATATCTGATGGACAATGGCAATTACAGAGAGATAAATTCATCTACAGACCAGGTAAAATACTAGTAGACTGGTTATTTGTCCCTGTTACAATGAAGTCTGAAATGGAGACTCATGGTTTAGTCTGTTTGTGTGCGTGTATGTGTTAGTGGATATGTTCGTCTGTAGTTGTATCTTCCCTCTCCAAAACTAACTATAAAGACCTAATTCAGATATTATGACATCTCTGGAACCGGATCTCTGCATGAGCCACATCCTATATGCTCAGTAGATGCCAAAATTTGAGTTCTGTGTTTTTTATATTTTATACTCACTTTATAACAACATATTTCTTTATGTTTATTGTCTTTAACCTAATATATGCAATGGGGACGATGCATTACAAAATATTTATTAGTAATCTAAATTTATGAATAAAAATATAATGTTTTTAATTGTTTATTATTTTCAGACAGCAATACATCTGGTTTAGTAATACCTAAAGGAACACTTGGCACACTGTATGATGAGAATCCAGGTAAGTATATAATACAACATAGCTTAAAACAGTGTCTGTGTGTGTGTGTAATTGTACAGTAATTTCTCAGCAATTAAAAGAATGAGGTTACAGTGGCATGTTGGTAATTTCAACTCAATACTAATTTATATGGTCAAACATTTTTGTGTTTCTTACTATAACAATTGCTGGCTTTCTGAAATAATAATTAATTCAGTTGTTGATTGATTTCATTATTAATAAACCATTAAGATTTGGTTTGCAAGTCTCACAGATCATACAGGAATGTTGCCTTCATCAAATTTATTGAGTAAGGCAACACAACAATGGTGTCTCACTCTTTCGCTGGCACAAGGCTTGTTTGCATGAGGTCATCAGATTTGTGTCCAATGTTGTACATTTCAGCATCCTTTTATTTTTACCTTGTCTGTATCAACATAGATGAATATCAAGGTATACGAGAGGAAAATGTCTCTTCTCGTCGTTGTTGTTATTGTTGTTTACTCCAAATTATACTTTTGTGGTTACAATTTCTTTCGAACATGTATATGTATATGTGTTTTATGTATATTTTTCAAGATATTTATAGTTTACATAATTTTGTCTTCTTCTTGTGGTAATTTTTATTTGATCATCTTCAAATTTGGGAATCTTATGAAATATCACCCAAGTTCAATTTTAGTGTAACTATAGCAACACAATTTTCAAGATACGAGGTAAAAATTTCCTGAAATAAAACATTTGTTAGACCTAGAAATATGTGGACAGAATGAAGACATTTATACTGCTAATAACGAGATTCAGATGTTAGTAATATGATTTGCTACCTTTATTTCTATTCATTATAACACAACACTGCCTGCTGTCTGACATTGTGTCTCTTCTCTTCCTATGCTCACTACAGGTTTACCTTATATTGTGTGGGATTGGGAATACAGTGCTTGGCAGTTGATACTTTGTAAAATTGATGATCTTTTGAGAATTGCAAGACACAATATAGGTAAGAACCCAATTGTACTCGGTTCTGGTAGTGGGACTGATTAAATAAATGCTCTGAGTACCAGATCTTGTTTTATTACTCTTTACTAAATATATGCGATTTGAATTGTCAAAATAACGTAATCGTTGCCATGGTATTCATTTCAGAATTATCGCCATTGAGTCTGGTGAATGATGTGAAATACGCAATTGATCTTGTTGGTCACATGGTACAGTCTGACTTCTCATTAGCAACCAGGCTGCAACCAATCATAACCAGAATATACCCACTAGTACAAAGGTATTTACTAATTTAGCCTCCACCTTTACTAAGTTAGGCTCCACCAGGCTGCAACCAATTATAACCAGAATATACCCACTAGTACAAAGGTATTTACTAATTTAGCCTCCACCTTTACTAAGTTAGGCTCCACCAGGCTGCAACCAATTATAACCAGAATATACCCACTAGTACAAAGGTATTTACTAATTTAGCCTCCACCTTTACTAAGTTAGGCTCCACCAGGCTGCAACCAATTATAACCAGAATATACCCACTAGTACAAAGGTATTTACTAATTTAGCCTCCACCTTTACTAAGTTAGCCTTCACCAGGCTGCAACCAATTATAACTAGAATATACCCACTAGTACAAAGGTATTTACTAATTTAGCCTCCACCTTTACTAAGTTAGCCTCCACCAGGCTGCAACCAATTATAACCAGAATACTCATTTATTAGCCCCCATATACCTAACTACTGTTACTCTCTATATGCATAATTGATTAGAATGTTCACATGAGACATTTTGTATTTTATTATTTGTTGTTCATACAATTTTGAGGTTGAGATGATTCATATTACAGTTGATTTATGTAGCGACTACTGTATTATGCATGCAAAGTAAGTTTTGTTTCTGTTCATAGATTCAATACTGGTAATGGTGTTACTCTAGATATGATATCATCTTGTGTAAAATGTCTGGTAACCTTAGCACAGCATGAACCCCATAAGGTATATCATATTGCATTCTCTAAATCTCCTGTTAAATTGTGTGGCTGGAATGCGATAACTGAATTCAGGCATACCTGATCTTAGTACAAAAAAGAAGACGCATTTGTATACTTTGGTTCATATGCAGATCAATTTAATCAACTGCAGCTCTTTTTATCAACAAATACTTGAATCAATATTGCAGGTATTCTAGACTGATTTGCAGGGGCATATATCATTCTGTGTCATGATTGGTTGGCTGCCAATTTATTTTTGTTTATTCCCTTTTCAGGACTTTGTCCAAACAGTTTAGACTCTGAGAATTTGTGTGTGTGCTTCCAGAGATACAGGTTTTCTCTCTGCTGTTATGTTCTATTTCACACTCCAAAACTTTGTTTTATTACTCACTTTATAACATTACAAACAGTATATGCTTATGGCCTTTACCATTAAATATACAACAAGGATTGTGCATTGCAAAATGCTCATCTGTTTCTTTTACCTCACAAATAAACACACCAGGACTGTCAATTCATTCACTTGCAGGTATGGAAAGATCTTCAACAAACTGGTTTTCTACCATATACAGGACGTGTCTATTCGGATGTTGCCATGGCAGCAAGGTAAACACTTGTTTTTCTTCAAATGTTAGTACAGTGGTGTACAGCAATTTTCATTTTGTGTTATTGAACTTTGTCAGACCAAAATACAACTTTTCAACATCAACTGTTTTTCTGACTTGGTATTGACAATCATGGGTTACTAATAAATTTCATGACTGAGTGCAGCCATGTTGGATTTATTAGTCCGAAAACAGGGGCTTATCGATTGTCATCTGTGTGTCAGTGCGTCTAATCGAGCAAACTTCACACATTCAAACTTGACACATACATAATATTATACATGTGCACATCAATTTGTTTATTGATCTGATTCAAGATGGCCTATGGCAACCATTTTTGTACTGAAAATTCACCAAAATTGAGCATTTCCCGGCTGTGTACAGATGGATTTTGTTCAAACCTTGTATATACGTTGGACATAATAGGACCTTGATGCACATCATTTTGTTTTACGATCTGATTCAAGGTGGCCGAATGGTGGCCATTTTTGTGCTACAAAATCATAAAAATCAAGAATTTCTTGGCTGTTTACAGATGGATTTTGTTTAAACTTGATACATACATTGGGCAGTATGGGCCCTTGATGCATGTCATTTTATTTTTCAGATTAGATTAAAAGTGGGTGACTGGCATCCATTTTGTTTCAATGAATGCAGTTCTAGTGCCATATCTCCGATATGCTTTTGTAAATTCATTATACATCATGTAATATACAGATATATCCGTTTGACAATCTGGATGGATGAATGGTTGTCATTTTTGTGCTGAAAAAATCATCAAAAATCAAGGATTTCTGGCATTCTGGATCTTGGTCGTTTATGGATGGATTTCATTCAAACTTGCTACATTCATTAGACATTATTGGTCCTTGATGCAAGTCATTTTGTTTTTCATATCAGATTCAAATTGGCTGACTGGTGGCCATTTTGTTAGTCCCCGTTCGAACGCAGTCCAAAAACTTGGACTTGTGTTTTGACTTCCGTGCGTCCATGCTTCTGTGCGTGCCTCCGGACCTGTATCTTGAAAATACCTGGACCAATCACAATCAAACTTCACACATACATCATACATTACATTATAGAATAGAATAGAATAAAATATATGCACATCAATTTGTTTCACAATCTGATTCAAGATGGCCGACTGGGAGCCATTTTTGTACTGATAATGGATACAGATGGATTTTGTTCAAACTTGGTATATACATTGGACATTGTACAACCTTGATGCTCGATTTTGTTTTTCAGATAAGATTTAAAATGGCCCACTGGCGGCCATTTTGTTTTAATGAATGTGGTTCTAGTGCCATATGACTTGATTTGACTGATTATGTTGATTTAAATATTCATTATACATCATGTCATAGATAGACAGATATATTGGTTTGACAATCCTATTCAAAATCATCAATTGGTGGCCATTTTTGTGCTAAAAAATCATCAAATATCAAGCATTTATGGATGGATTTTGTTCAAACTTGGTACATACATTAGACATTATGAGTTTCTGATGCATGTCATTATATTTTTTTAGATCAGATTCAAAATGGCTGACTGGCGGCTCTTTTGTTTTAATGAATGAGCTTCTAGAGCCATCTCTGACATGCTTTGACTAATTATGTTCATATTTTATACATCATGTTATAGATATATACATGTATTCAAAATGGTTGATTTTGTTTTAATTAATGCTGTTCCAGAGCAATATCTCTCAATGTTGACAAGTACTTGTTTGACAATCAGATACAAATTTCAATCATTTTAATGTTAAACAATCATCATAATCATATTCCTGACATGGTTATATTCCAGATATATTACAATAAACAAAACTATATATCTTAAATTCAATAACTAATGGGGACTGTGCCATGCATGGTTTGTTTTTAATGGATGTGGTTCTAGTGCCATATCTCTGACATGCTTTGACTGATTATGTTAAAATTTTATATATTCATTATAGATCATGTTATAGATATGCATATGTTTTCAAATTGGCCGACTGGTGGTCATTTTGTTTCAATTGTTGCTGTTCCATAGCAATATCTCTCAATATGGACAAGTACTTGTTTGACAATCATATACAAGATAACTGAATGTCAATCATTTCAATGTTAAAAACTCATCATAATCAAGCATCATCTTCTGGATCCATATCTCTTACATGTTTATGTTTGAACTATATTACTATAAACATAATCATATAATAAATTTGTTAACTAACGCGGACTGTGCCATGCATGGCTTGTTTAACATTGTTCATTTACTTGGCTTAGTTTAATTACAAACATGTCATTCACTTGTTGGTCCTGAATTTGTTTTCAGCGGAGCGGGTATATTTCCTGGTAACTATGGTAACTTGTTGGGTAACCAGGAGAGACAAGTTGGTCAATATCCTGTGACAAAAGAGTTTCTCTGCCTTCTATCAACTCTCATTAAGGTAAGCAGTTACTATCATTATAATTGTCATTGTAGACATAGGTATATCAAAACTTCTTCTTGTAGTTACAATAACAGATCATCTTCAAATTTAGGAATACTTTCAGTCACTATGAACTGATAATGAGAGCCAGATCTTTTATGCATAAAATGTTCAGATATATTAGTGCATTGTTTCTTTAGAACTGTTATACTCACATTTGCCATGAAAATAAAAGATTGTTCATCATAATTTTTCCCCCACTGAGACACTATTAGTTCAATCACTTTATTTCCTTCTATCTCTCAAACACATTAATTTTTAAACCCATTAATCAAAACCCTCAAACCCATTATTAACCCTTCTCAATCCCATTATTAACCCTTCTCAATCCCATTATTAACCCTTCTCAATCCCATTATTAACCCTTCTCAATTCCAATTATATATATAAATTGATAATGATTATTCTATAGGGTTTGTTCAGCAAGCAGAGTGTAGAAATATCTCAAGATGTCTTGGCATGTGTTATATTTGTACAATGGGAAATCTTTGCTTCATTTCATAAGTGGAGGTACATGGACATCACTGAAAGAGAAGAAATAGGTAAAGTTATAATGACAGAAATAAGATAACCGTGTTTGCTCTATTAGAAATGTGAGCCAAAAATTGCATTTATTGTAGACTGAATTAATAAAATATTTCATATTTTGATCATAGACATACCTCATATTCAAAACAAATATTCCCAAAAATAGTAATATACTTGTATCAGCAATATACTGAAAGATTCTGAAACTATAAATAATACATCCATGAGAAATCCTACTGTAATTTACCCATGTTGATAAACTTTTCATTTATTTGTATTTTCAGGAAAAAGAAGTCTTGAGATCTTTCACAATGTCTTACATGTCTCCCCTGTAGTATTTGGTGACTCTGAAGTTATTGGTAAAAGATCAAGGTGTGTGCACATTATATTCTTGAGTAGACCATATGGACTAATACATTTTGTGGGTATTTGTAGTTATACAATAATTTCTCAGCTGTGCAGACTTCAACCCAGTTACCAGTGATGGGGGATGCTCCCAAATTACACATGCTGGGCTTTGTTTTACAATTTGATTACCTGTACGTTTTATCTTTATGAATAGTTTTGACTCCCGTGTGCGAAGCACAAAAAAGGAGTCTTTGCAGTTAGTGTGTGTGTGTGTGTGTGTGTGTGTGTGTGTGTGTGTGTGTGTGTGTCTGTTCCACTGATATCTCAAGAACCATACATTGAGTTTTGATGAAACTTGGTGCATAGATGCTCTGAGCCAATGCGCAGATTTGATGAGGTTTTGGTAAAAATCCCATGCATATTAATTATCTAATTTGCATGATAATTAGCTGATTTTTAGCTGTTTCATGATTGTTCCACTGATATCTAAAGAACCACTCATTGGATTTTGATGATTAGTTTTGGGTAAAAATCTGTGCAATATTAATTACCTAATTTGCATAATGATTAATCAATTTTCTGCTTTTCCACTGATATCTCAAGTTCTAATCATCACATTTCAATAAAACTTGGTACATAGATGTCATAGGACACTGCACAAACCTGATAGTTTTTAGGGTAATATGAGTACATATTAAATACTTAATTTGCATAATTAATTAATTTTCAGCTTTTGATATTTCAAGTAGTAATCATCACATTTCAATGAAATTTGGTACATAGATGTCATAGACACACCCCTGATAGTTTTTAGGGTAATATCAGTACATATTAATTACCTAATTTGTATATTTAATTTTCAGCTTTTGATATTTCAAGTAGTAATCATCACATTTCAATGACACTTGGTACATAAATGTCATGGGACACTGCACAGACCTGATAGTTTTTAGGGTAATATCAGTACATATTAATTACCTAATTTGCACAATTAATTAATTTCCAGTTTTTGATATTTCAAGTAGTAATCATCACATTTCAATGACACTTGGTACATAGTTACTTAAGAACTGTGCAGACCCCTGATTTTTTTGGGGTAAATATTTGTGCATATTAATTACCTTATTAGCATAATTAGTTAATTTTCAGCTTTTTGCCTGAT